CCCCCCCCGTCTCTCTTCACACGGATACACACGCACACAAGCGTTTTTCTCTTCCGGCATCTATTTTACTATCCTCTCTGCCTTTCTTGATCCCTTCTATTCTTTCCATCCTGCAATTCTGTTTGTACGTAGGTATCCCCCGCGCCTGCTCAAAATACAACAGTTTTTTTTGAAGAATAAGAACAACTGTGTTTTCTTTTAAATAAGATATACTTACAGAAGTAAAATTCTTTTCCATTTTTGGAACGCAATATGGGATTCCTAGTAGCACAGAACTGTCGCACGATTGTTGGACAACAGTAGAAAAAATATACGGACTATCGGTGCGAAATACGAATTGAGGAAAATGAATCTATTGCTATACTATCTTTTTACCTCAGAACGAAAATCTTTATCGGCTAGCTATCAGAATGGAAGCGAAAAACCACTGTTGTGAATTTGACCAGGAATCGATATCAATACAACAAGATCTTAGATGGTTTAAATTTGATAGTCCAGCGACAATCGTCTGACTCTGGAAGATCCATCACTTTTGGATTTTCGTTATCGTCACAATAATTGGCCGATTGAAAAAAATTACACTATGCGCGACAGTTTTGTGTTACTAGGGATGGTCTTATTCGCCGCACTGAAAATCAATTAATGTGCTCAGCACGCTGTTCACTATTCATTCGATCTGCTCTTTTGATCAAATTAGTTAAAGCTTTCGCAAAGTTAACAAGGCGGCGGCGGTGCGTACCCCAGTTTGACACCCGTCAGATATCGTTATCCATCGCATGGGCCGCTCCTGATGTTTGCGACACGAGAGGGGCAACTTTCATCAAACGGGGGACGTCCGCTCAACCCTTCGTCGCGCCTCCCCCCTCCCCCCCTCCCCGCCCTACCACTCCCTCCACGACAACGTGAAACGCGAAGCGAAAATATTTACCGTGAGGCTGAGGTGTCGGAGGCGGAGTAGGCAGGGGTGTGGGAGGGGGGAGTGGAGACGTTAACGTCACGAACAGCGACGTACCGACGAAAAATTATTCGCCTTAGGTCATCATTTTGCTATCGAAAGGCCTTCGATTATGATTAGGTAGTGAGGTAACGAGGAGCGACCTTGAGCCCCTCTCTCGTCTCCCAGCGTGTCTCTCTTTTGCTGCTGGCTCTGCAGGCACTCGCGAGGCTAAAGAATGGAAGCCGGAGGCGCGCTCCCAAGCCCGCAGGCCTCGGGCAATCAATCTATAACAATTTGATTCGTTTTCGCTCCCGGAGGGGATTCAGAAAAGAGCATTCTCGTCATCCTATAAAGTCGCTCATCCCCAACCGGAGCTTACCATTGCGCGCAGGCGAAAATGACTTTAACGGAAACCACCACTGACAACGTAATCCTCTTAAAAATGTGCGTGTAAACGTTTTCAGTAGAATGTACTAGCATACTTTTTAAGTATGAATACACCTAGCCAGGCACACACACTGTAAATAAAAGTTGGAAACAGTAATCGTAACGTTTTACTCAAGAACTAGGTTTAGTAACATCTAGGTTGTTAGTCAAAATTCATGAGAATTTTCCAAAAAGATTGTAACTTTTCAAATAGTTTGGAAAAGTATTTTTCCGAACCGTTTTGATTTTAAATTTTCCAAACTGTTTGGGGTGCAAATTTTCCAGTAAATTGTTTCAAAATTGTCAACAAATTTTTTACAGGGCACACTCAAACTTGTGCTCTTCATCGTGTCCCTGCCAAGGTTATTATCACTACTGATTCTTTGAATAACTCATGTGTCCGAGGCGATGAAAACATGCGTTGATTTAACACCGCGCCACTCTCAAAACTGTTCCTTTAAAAAACGTTAACACTTCGTGTAAACTGCGAAACGAACCCATGATAAAGAAAACTAAATTATATATCCTAATCTAAATAAAGAAGTAAACATTTTTAGTTGTACGGGGTGTGCTTGGCCTATGCTGTCAGCCCATATTGCGTCTTGGCCCCTGCGGCATGAAATGTTATGCAAACCCGCAGCACTGACAAGACGTAACGTAAGACGTAACGTAAGACGTAACGTAAGACGTAACGTAAGACGTAACGTAAGACGTAACGTAAGACGTAACGTAAGACGTAACGTAAGATGTAAAGTAAGACGTAAAGTAAGACGTAACGTAAGACGTAACGTAAGACGTAACGTAAGACGCAGCATAAGACGTAACGTAAGACGTAACGTAAGACGTAACGTAAGACGCAGCGTAAGACGTAGCGTAAGACGTAGCGTAAGACGTAACGTAAGACGTCGCACAGTGCTTATTGTTGGCGGTATTTGGTGGAATTTAGATGCAACAGGTGGTCGCGGCGACATGACGCTCCGGCCCCCCGCGCGCTCCGCGTGTGGTAGAAACTGGTTCGTTTAAAAAAAAATTCCGGTCCAGCGGACACGAAAATGAAACCCGCCAATTCCGGCCTGATTTATAGGCTCACGTGCTCCGTATCTATTCCATTCTCTTCGGTTCGCTTGACTCGCCTGACCGCACCGCAGCACCAACAACGCCTGCCTGCCTTCCTGGCTGCCGCTCTCATCGTAAACTGGCCGAAGCTGGCTGTACACTGCCAAACGTCCGACACCCCGCATACGTACGTAGTTTAATGGGCACCGTAGGGCATTCCGCCGACAAATCTAAAATGCCTGGGCGGTGGAAGACGTCCTCCTGAATCTCTAACACACTGAAGGCCGGGCCTTCTCACGGTCAAAAAAAGTATCTTGTATTTCAAGTTTCAAGACCTGCGCTCTTGGGTGCAATTGGCGTTCTCCATAAGATCCAAGACCAGGTCTTGAAATACAAGGAATGTTTTTAACCCTGCGCAACCAACACCCGCAGCCCTCTGGTCTTCAAAGCCCCCGGTTCCTCTCGCGCAAAACATCAAATCGATGAAGGTCTCAAACAAATCTTTATTTCACCGTCACTTCTTCCCCTGTTGTTGCAAGGGCCACACGGACGCACCACACAGCCGCAGCGAGCAGAAACTGTCATCTTCGCCCCCGATCCTCCCGGGTGCGTCCTCAGGAAGCGACAAAAATTTTGGCATTCTAGCAGACAGTTGGCGTTTGGACTGCGAGGAAGGGCTTCCCCCTAAGGGTCCCTGGCCCGCAGTTGGGCGTTGGGGCGCCATGGGGGCGGCCCGGGGGCACTGTAACAAGCCACCCAGTGCCCCACTTGGCCCACGCCTCCACCAGGGGCGACGCGTCACATCCATTCTTTGGCATTTTTAGGCACGTAGCGGCAGCCCCTTCCCTAATTTTATCGTGAACCGAGGGTCGCTTCTTTTCGGGTCCTGCCGGGTGGTGGACGTGGGCGTGAAGGGCGGCGGTAAGGGTGGGGGAGAATGGGGGAAGGGAACAACGGGGGCCCGTACTGCTGGTCTGGTGGTGACCTTGGTTTTGTTTCTGAGCGTCTCTTCCTCTCTTTTCTTATTGTTCTTATCTCTCTCGCAGACGCGGTCGCGCAGCCTCACGCACATCGCGGCGCTGGACATGGACGCCGGGCGGCCGGACCGCCTCGTCGTGCCGCCCGCCTCCGACAACCGCCACCACACGCTGCGGAGACAGAACTTCACCAGCCGGTCACAGGTAAGTGCGTGCGTGCGTGCGCTGACAAAAGCTTTTCCAATAAAACCATTCTTTTTTAATTTTAACATGCCGGGTGTAACTGTGAATACGCAGCAGTGTTGCGGGATTGCCTACGTGCCAGGGCTGCAGGGGCCATGGCGCCTTACGGGCGATTTGGGTAGGCAAACCCGCACCACTGCTGCGCACTCAGTTACACCCGGTACGTAGAATTCCAATCTATAAAATTTTCGCTGAGCGAAGCTCAGTCCAAGTCGCTGAGGGGTCAGGCGATGTCTCCGTCGTGAGTCTGTCTGTCTGTCTGTGTCTAACACGCTCAATGGACTACGAAACGGCTGCACCAATGACGAAATGCGAGTTTGTTCAAACATTAACATTTCTTGGGGCAGTTTCAAATGCATTTACTTTCAGGATTTGTTTAGTTTGAAATATACAAAAGTTTAATTTGAACTCGCGCGTAGTTTGTTGGTGTGTTGGCAGCACTGCACTCGAATGGGCAAAGAGCGCAAACGGCACCTTCGCCACTTCAAGACTTTCTTACTCTCTCACAAGTGATCAAATTG